GGATGCTATAGGTTCCTTACATAAATAGTAAATAATACGGTATATAGGAGATAAGTTGATTTATTCATATGTCGACTTGCCCTTAATTTCTCTTTGTCCTTGTGGATCTTGCTCCTGCTATTATCTAAAGCAGCACTTCTCCGCGTTTTGAAATGACTTTGAAATACTATACAGAGTTTTTTTAATACAATGAACCTTAGGTGCGTCTGGATGCGGCATGTGGCTAAATATTCTCTCCTTGATCACCTTTTATTTAATGGATATGCTTCAATTTCGCAGAGCTCACTCAAAAGTAATTAATACCTCTAATCTGTTGCAGCGGTTTAAGAAACTCCTATATGCAATCTTTCTTCTTTTGTAAGAATTATTGTTCTCAATTACACATTTATCCGAAGACTTTGCATAACATTGTTGATGTTGATTTTCGCACCAAATTATGTAATGTGATACTTTAGGTGTAAGTAAAGCAAAGAAGGGTCAATGGAGGAACAGTAATTTCTCTATCTATTGCCAAATAATCTGAAATTATCGCTTTATAAAAACAATGGAACCTCTTAATGTTTCCTGAGGCCATGGCTATCAGTCCTTATCTCTTTCACATCTATTTGAACATTTAGCATATTTTATCTTTTTTTTAGGCTGACGACCTCGCTGGCTAGCATTGCTAATATAGCAATGCATCCCTTCTTTATTTATAATTTCCTTGATATTTCAAAATTAACCATAACATTTTTTCTATCATCAGATTGTTCTACAGCAAAGGGTAACGAATTTCCGTTCAAATCGCTCTATATCTGGAGGCGGCTTGTTAGCTGGCCTATCAGCGGGTGGCACTATTGTCTCTAATGGGCATCCTATGATCTTTCAGGATCTTGTTCCGATGCTGCAACACGCTCTTTCTGGCAACGTCAATTTTAATCGAAGCGAAACACTTGGCGTCACATCAGCTTTGCTAAGTGATCAAATTAGGCCCGGATCAACTAGATCTAGGACATCTGAATTACTCACTGATGGAAGACCGAATGAAGATCATCTGGCTCACCTACACGTAAGTAGTTTTTACGATGTGCAGCTATTCAAATATTTAATAACAAATCTACAAAGTATCGCCTTATTATTATTGGTCCATCATTAGTG